AAAACTGAAACACAGCCTGCAGTCAGCTCAACCCCTAAGTGGATTACAGTCCCCAATATGCCTGGTTAGAGGCTATTTTCTCTGGAGGAAAATAACATTATCGATAACATCTACAATTTTTCATATAAAATATTAAATATATAATCAACATTTACTAGTACCAAGACACAGAGCAAAAGCCCAGAGGAAAAAAAATCACACACACACACACACACACACACACACACACACCAGTGACTCAGGTATTGGGGGTAGCAAAAAAAGAACCACAATACACTTTAAGTTTTAACTACAAAAATTAGATAAAAAGGTGGAGAATTTTGTCAAAATTATAAGCAAATAAAAGGATCAAATGTGGAATTAAGAACTCAATAGATAAGGCTGAACAATGGATTAGACACAGCAAAAGAGATGATTATTAAATTAGAGTAATAGTCAACTATTGGCTGATTTTTCAATAGAAATAATAGATACCTGAAGACAATGGAATAACGTTTTAAAATGCCTAAGTATAGAATTCCATACTCAGAAAAAATATCATTCAAAAATGATGATAAATTTAAGATATTTTCAGACCAGTAAAAAGTAAGAATTTGTCACCAGGAAACCCTCACTGAAAATAAAATAAAAGGCTAATAAAAGTCTTACTGGTCATAAGAAAATGATTTTCGATGAAAGCATGGCAATACTGAAAAAATAAAGAACAGTGGAAAAGGTAAACATGTAAGTAAAAAAGAATAGTGATTACTTAAAATAACAAAATAATATCTAATATATTCTTTAACTATCTGGATTAAAGTGCATGACAACAATTACACAAAAGGTTTAAGGAGGTAAATAGAACTAAAGCACAATAAGGCACCCAGTACTATACTACTACCCAGTACCGTATTCATCCAAAAGAAATCAAAACATGTCCATAGAATGACTTGTGCACAAATAAATAGAAGCACCATTAAATACATAGAAGCATTATTAAATATATGTTAGTATGCTCAATACAGAGACGCACTATTAATAATATCCTGAAATTAGAAACAATTCAAATATTGAGCTACAGGTGAACCAATTAATTATGACATTTATACAATGGAATACTACTCAGTGGGGAAAAAAGGCTAAAAAATGGATGGATAATACAGACACTATCTTGAGCAAAAAAAGCCAGATTACATGATTCCATCTATATGAGATTCTAACCAAGCAAAATAATTTATAATAGTAAAAGTCAAGTATTAGGAACCGGGAAGCAGCAGCATCCTCCAGAGGTTGATGATGTTCCATTTCCTGATCTTGTTACATGGCAGGTTTTACATGGATGGTCCACAAACAGCCATGGAAATTTATCAAGCTCTACACTTATCTATACGTACTTCAAAAATAAGTCTAAAAGTATATTTCAGACATACAGAAAGTGATATAAACAAAATAAAACCATATCCACCATCAAGATTAAAAGACAAAACATTACTAATATAGTTGATACGTTTATTACTCCCTGATTATACCTCCACCACCCTGGCAGAAATAACCAATCTCAGGAATGGTGCTCCCCATTCCTCTGTACTCCTTAGACAAGCTTCCCTTAATAACATATAGAAGTATTTTCCATTTTTCAAACTGTATATAAAAGGCAATTTGATTTATATTTTTATAAGATTGTTTTGAAAGATGAACAAGAGAACTTCCTGTGATGACAAAAATATTCCATATTCATAACCATATCCTGGAATGTTAGTTACATAGGTAATATATACAGCTGCTCAAACTCATCAAATTGCTGTTTTAGTATCTGTGCAGTTCATTATAGGTAAATGTTATCTCAAAATAACTTTTTAAAACAATTTGATCACTCTAGTTTCTTTCTGAGCAATGGGTGGGGGGTGGACAGAAATGAAACTAGGAAGATCTGCTGGAATACTGCAATAGACCTGGTTGGTATCAAACTCATCCATACGCAGGGCAAGGAAGTAGACAGGTTGTAGACCCAGTCCTTTGAGCAGCTGAACTGTGAAGACAAAGAATTGATGAGAGATCAAAAAGGAGTGGAAAGACCTCAAGAAAGTAAGAGGATGGGATAAGAAGGGCAGGTGGTTTGGTCTTTGCTGGGACACAATGTCCTGTTGCTTTGGAAGGCAATCAAAATGGTACAGATGCTGGAAAGATTATTTGGTGGTGGAAAGATAGAGGAGTTCCCACTTAGTGATGGCTACTTTTTCAATGAACCTGAGTCATTATATGAAAAGGGTGGGCTTGGGAGTGCTGAAACTGTGAAAAAGAATGGCATGACATTGCCCTGGGGAGAACTAGAAAAGCATCCCAATATGTTGAAAAGTGGTTAAGAAAAATCAAAGGTTAGGGCCTCCCTGGTGGTGTAAGGGGTTAAGATGCAACATTTGAAGCTATCCACAGCTACTGCAGCACGAGTTCGATCCCCAGCCAGGGAGCTAGCCACATGGTGCAGCAGACCTCTCCTGACTCACCCGCTGCTTCCCTCAGCAGTGTATTTCAGTCGTTCCACCTGTTCTGTTCCCCACTCTGTCTCTGGTGAATCCTCTCACACCCACACCTCTGGCCTGCACCCCAGTTCTTGTATGCATAAATAAATAAATCTTTAAAAAAAAAAGAAAAAGAAAAACCAAAGGTTCCATTCTGGACAGGTTGGATGCCCAACTGATATCCAAAGTCTCACAAAAGCAGGAAAATTGTTACTGGATTAAGCTGCACAAAGCAGAGTGGAATTTATAGTAAGTAGAGGAAATGAGTAAATGAATGAAGATTAATTTTTTTCATATTTTCTTAGCACATTTTTAATCATTGATCAGATTCTACAATGGAACTGAAAAAAAACTTCAGAAATAAGTCAAATTGGAAATCAAATGCATTTTCCTTTTTTATTCTTAGTTCTGTGTGTCCTTGGAATAAAAGCAATGTGTATCTTTCAGTGTTATCAATTTTTTGTTTTTTCTAAGATAAATTTATTTTAGAAGATAAAATAAATTTTAAGCAGAATTCGCCAATGGAAAAATTTTCGTGGGAAATGAAGAGATAGTAGCTCTATCTCTGTATTATCACAATTGGTGACATTCACAAGGATATGGTTAACAAAGAAATAAGACACTCTTGCCAAGAAGGATTAACCTCATGTTTACATTCAAAAGATTCCTGCTGCTGCTAAGTCACACAGGCCCAGAGAGAAGAAAATCTTTAGCTCATGTGCAGGATTCTCAGGGTGGTCCAGGCCAAACCTGAATATGCCCAGAAGAAGAACAGAAACACTGGCTGTCTTTGGAAACAAGTTAGCACACTGTGCTGTTTATCACTCACCAATTATGAAATGAAAAGACAGACTGTAAATGCATTACTTGCAGCACAAATTATTATGTGCTTTATTACACCCAGTTCCATTGAAAAGAAGTCCATTCATGCAAGAAGCACTATTATGGTTGGCTAAGCAGCCAGATTTCTGTGCTTATAATTCATGTATATACTTACTATGTATATCAAGTGTACTCTCTTAGTTCCTGTTGCCACAGCCATATTGTAAATGCATATGTTTCTGTCACTCTTAACTACAGAACTTCAGCTGTCAAGTTTGGAGCTGATATTCTCCAATATGCTGATCATGCTCTACTCTTAAAAATAATTCCTTATTTGCTATCAGAAGCTCCTTCCATAATATACAAAATGGCAGAATTCAGTATTTTAAAAACTAATCTGGATCTTCAACCAAGTGTCACCATGTGATTTTTCCTTGAAAATATCCCCTTTCCTACCCTTCTCTTTATTCATTAATTATAAAGCCTGATCAAGTAGTAACATAGGAGAACATGTTAAGTACCAACAAACATCAAAACCAGTGTTTACAGGGAGGAAAAGAAGGAAAATCTCAGTTTCATGCTAGAACATCCTTTAAGGCACTGTCATTTTCAGCATGGAGACCTCAATTATTTCTCCTGTGCTGAAAGGTCTACACACTTAAAGGTTAGGCAGGTCCACTAAGAAAATAAGCAGGCATTTCTTTGTATCATTAAGCACAACAGGATACCAGTTCTCAGCCAGTTTTAAAACACCAACAGAATTCTGAGTGTGAATATCAAGATTCACTATTTTAGTTTCAAGAGAAGCAGTTAGTTGTCCTAAGGCCAAAGAGCTTTGGGACCATACTTCAAGTTGTCAACTGCATAGTATTTCTAGAGCCAACGACCAGCTCCATTGCAAAATCATCCAGTAAACCTAGAGTCTGAAGAAACCCTGGGGGGTCCTTAGTCCAATCTGACACTTTAGCCAGGAATTTTTTTCTCCAACATCCCTGACAGATGGTCAGCCTCTGCTTCAATTACTCCAGTGGGGGAGTTCTTAAGCGAAAATCCCCAAGGGATATGATGAAAGGCTAGAACCAACCATTCAAACGGGGAGTTAAGGTTCCAGTCAGCAAGTCTGCAGGACACAGACAGCATCGCCAAACAGTGAAACCAGACTTCCAAAAGAATGCCATTCAGAATCTGCAATCATCTTAATATGCAATGTTAAGACATAGAGAGCCTCAATTCTGGGACATCTAGGTCCATTCACTAGCCTGGGTAGTAGCTCCCACAACTGGGGTAGCAAGTGGTTTTTATTTTATTGGTTTCTTAAGGTAAAATGACTTTTTAGGGCTCACAGCAAGGGCTGTTCTTCATCCTGTAAAACCAAGCCAAGGGTCCCACCCCCTGGTGGAACTGCTAATGCTTCAAACACTCTTACTTTGATCTTTAAACCATCACTCCAGGAAACCAGAACATTCCCAGCTCTTCTTTTTAAGGTGTATATGAGCTGTGCTGTAACTGAAGTTATCTGGCTGGTGTCAGGGGCTGATGTGTGGGGCTGATGATTTAAGAGAGGCCCTTTTTTTATCCACGGGGAAGTCTGGCTTAACCTCCCAGGAAAGGCGAGCGCTCAAGCCCTGAGCTACCAGCACATGCCCTGCCAGACCCAGGGAGGAGCGGCCGGACCCTTACCTGTCGATGCTGATCACGCACAGGGTCATGATCGAGGCTGTGCAGCACATGACGTCCATGGCGATGAAGACGTTGCAGAAAAAGTGGCCAAAGATCCACTTGCCGCCGATGAGGTCGGTGACGCTGACGAAGGGCATGACCGCCACGGCCACGGAGAGGTCGGCCAGCGCCAGGGACACGATCAGGTAGTTGGAGGGCTGGCGGAGCTTCTTGACGAAGCACACGGAGATCACCACCAGGCAGTTGCCAGCGATCGTCAGCAGCGTGATGAGCGTCAGGATGGAGCCGATCACAACTTTCTCCACTCTGCCGTAGTTGATCTGCTCCCCGCAGCCCGAGGCATTGTCCGGGGACGCGTCCCAGGTGGGGAGCGGGCTAGCGGTCACCTCGGGAGCCCCGCCCAGCAGGTGAGGCGTCCAGGAGCCCGCCACCGGGTCGGCGCCGTCGGGGCTCAGGTCGGGCAATGCGCGCCCCACCTCCGGCAAGAGAAAAGAGCGGAGGTGCCCGTAGAAGTCCGGGCGGCCGCTGCTGTTAACGTCCATCATCGTGCCTCGGTGCGCCGCTGCCCATGGAGCCGGCGACCCTGCCTCGCGCTGCGGCTGCCGGCCCGGGGGCTTCACTTGGCCGGTTCCGCTCCGCCCGGCCCAGCCATGGGGCGCGCGCCGGCCGCTGGGGGGCGCCCCGGCTCGGCCTCGCCGCCCCGCACGTCCCGGGTTCCCCGGCGCTGCGGACCGGGCGGGAGCGCGGGGGCGCGGGGACGCCCTGCGGGAGGCGCCTCCGGCACCGGCACCGGCCCCGGCTCCGACGCCGCCCGGGGCGCGCGGGCTCGCGAGCGGCGCCCGGCTCGCGGCTCAGCTGGCGGCCCCGCAGCCCGCAGCCCGCGGCAGTGCGCGGCGCGACCCGGAGCGCCCGGCGGCAGCGCAGAAGTTGCGGAGAGCGCCCCGCCCCTCGCGCCCGCCGCCGCCCCCCGCCGCTCCCCTGCGGCAGCCGCGTCCCCGCGCTGCGCCCCTCGGGCGCCCGGGACGGCTCTCGGGCGGGCCGGGCCCGCGCCGCGCCGCGCCTCCCCGCCGGGCTGGGGGCGGCCCCCCTCGCGCCCCCGCACCCCCGACCCGGTAGCCCCGAGGCGTCTCCGCGGCGGGGAGCTCAGGCCCCCCGAGACACCCCGGCCTCCTCACGGTAGCCGCCGAGCCCTGGTGGGGCGCCCCGGGAGCCGGCGGACGCTGCGACTCGCGGCAAAATGAAGAACCTGGAGAGGATTTTTTTTTTTTCCTTCATTAATTAATTTCGAGCACTACACCGCAACAAACAGATACTTCCGTTTCCTATTTTGACCACTTATGGGAGAAAGCGAGGATGGAGGAGATGCAGCCGATGGGGTGGGGGTGGGCGCGCGGGAGAAAGAACTAGGAGGGGGGAGAAATGTCTTCAGATCCAGGCACCCCAGGAGGAGCTGGGGCTCCGGGAGGGGGGCGCGGGAGGGGTTCTGTAAATCCTTTCTCACGCGCCCTCAAGGCCGCTGGAAACAGGCCTCCAGGCTCAGAAAATAGACCCTGGCTGCCTTTTGTATTCAGACTCCAAAGGCTAATAAATTGAAGTGAGGGTTCATTTTCTCGTTGCATCTGGACAGAAGCGGAGAAATGACCGGTTATAATGTTCTGCGGGAGAATCCTGAAAATCCCCTTCGTATTCACACCGTGTCAAAGTGGCTGATTGGTATTATTTGTGAGACTTACTTCACTCCATTTTATTTAAAGGTTTTATTGGAGGCCAGCAGTGGTTTCTTTAGTTTAAGACGCTAAAAATAATCAAATCTGTTTTCTTTTATAGTTAGGCCCCCAGTGGGTTATAAATACGAAGAAAAGGAACAGAAACCTTAAAATATATTGATCTGAGTGCTGAATAATACTCTCATTCTTCAAGGTGGATGTTAGTCCTATTTTTCTAGAGAAGGAAACACAGTTATTGCAATCAGCTGATAATAGGTTTCAAAGACAGGTTTATCTGGTTACTATGTCCTGATTCTTCCTTCTCCAATTAAAAAAAAAAAAAATGCTTTCTAACTAGGAAAAAAGATCCTATGTGGCAGGCCATTGTTTACAGGTCTCACTATAATGAATGTATCAGGGACTCTCTTCTAACTGAACACAAAACAAACCATCCAGTCAGGAGATGAGTGGGAGATAATCTCTAGGCATAAAACAATACTATTTAATAGGTAAGCGGATGAATCAGGAAATTTCTACAACCTACAATATTCAACATCATTTCAGACAAAAGAGAACTAGTTTATAGCTGGAAGCCTTTTTTTTTTTTTTAACCCCTCAATACAGGGGAGGAAACAAAAACTGGTAGAAGTTTAATGACTTCTTCAAGATCATGCATGACGACATGATTCATTTTTTGGGTTTTCAGATTTAGAATTGCCTTAAGGCCTCTTAAAAATTCCCTAAATTTCACAAAATACTTTTGACTTTTCTCATTGAAACTTTTTAAACTAATTTTTTCATTTTTTCCCTTGAATACTCTAGTCAGTTCAGCTTACACATATTCTCTCTGCTCTTTTAAATAAAATTCCATATATTACACATAGAAAGTGAAAAAGCAATAATTCAAATTTTGTGTCTACAGAAATCAATATAATTTGTCACCTATTAAAGCCCTTACCCAGCTACTTATAGCAGATGTTTTTGCTCTAACTTTTTTTAATTGTGGGACATATAAACACACCAAATAATCATTAAAATGCTATTTTCAAAATTACTTCCGCTTCTATTTTCCATATCACATTAGGTCCAAATCCCCCTTGTGATAGAGCCGCCACCTCTATTATATTATCCCTAGTGATGGCTGAGTGTATTTGCTAAGAGTTGCTAGGTTTTTAATTTATAAGCTGTCACAATGCATAAACATAGTTACTAAAAATCAAATCTCAGCTTCTGCATCATTACCTAGCTCATGTTGACTTTTAATTTCATCTATCATTGTATTATTCCAAAATTCTGACAAAACAATCTGGAATTCTTTTACTTTCCCTCTCACCTTGACTAACTAATAATTCTATGTCCATATGTATACTTATGTAAATGCTTTTCCATAATTTGTTCACAAAGAAAAACCAAAAATACAGTTTGATAACATAACTGAACATCTAAATTAATTCATTTTGCCTGGGTTTCCTAGTGTCCTTAAAGTCCTTATCAAGCTGCTCCTTGCTTCAATCTTCTCTTGCCCATCCACTCTTTTGGAGTTATACCAAAAATAATAAGAGAAGTGTTGGCATCTAAATCATACGGCATGTTTAGTTTTTATCCCTTTTATTTCTTTCACTTAAAAAATAGTTGGCTATATTCTCACTGCCTATAACAACATTCTCATAAAATTGTCAGTGAGGGCACCTGAGAATACAACTTTCTGATATTTCCAACTGGCAACCTCCCACTCTCAGAACTTCTCCTGGGGAGGATGTAGGAGCAGCCAAGTCTTACAACTGGAATTACCATCTTTTTATAAACTCTTCTTCCCTCTAGGTACTCATCTAGCCCATCAGAATGCATCTGCTTAATCATATCTATGCAGAACCACACATTCCCATCCATAGGACACAAGCTTAGAATAGTTTGTTTTCCCATAAACCAGCATCCTCTGGCAATCTGGTTTACTTTAAGAAACACAATTAAAATAAATCTGTGCCATAGGATGTCTTGGAAACTCACAGTTAAGCATACTAACTTCAAGTTGACTGGGATTCCAGTAACTTCCGATGTGTAATGCAACTGACTTCCTCTTTTTCACTTCTCTAAATTTTTTTCAGCTGCTCACTTTTCTATCCCATTGCCTTGTTCAACAAAGCTAATTGTCTGAGTGTCCCTTGACCCCAGAAATGAATGAGAAAAAATTAAGAAAACCAGATTGCTTAGAGAGGTATAGTCCTAAAATTGCTGGGTATAAATATGTAAATGCTACCCTGTGGCTACCATGCAGTCATAGAGACAGAAAGCATCCTGGCAATGAGGATTGAATCTGTCAACACAGACATTGAGGAGGCTCAGCTGGGGTAAAAGCAGGTAGACTGGGGCTCATAGATATATCCCTTCTCCATCATCATCCTCTCACCGAAGCTAGTCAACGCTCTTGACTGTTAAAATGCTTTTCATATATTTATTTATTTATTTATAGATTGGTTTATTTATGCATGCAAGATCTGGGTTACAGGCTAGAGGTGTGGGGGTGAGAGGATTCACCAGAGAGAGTTGGGAACAGAACAGGCAGACTGACCGAAGTACACTGCTGAGGGGAGAAGCAGGCGAGACATTATAGCACTTACCATTGCACGGTGCTCTTTCCGATTACACTGTGTACTCTGCAAAAGAAAGGATATTTTCTTATTTCTGTCACATACTAGGTGTGCAATAAACACTTATCAAATAAATTGAGTGTAGAATAATGCCTATAGCCAAAAGGCATTCATTATTTTAAATAATTCTTCGACTTCAAAATGAATTGTGAGTTTTGTTTTAATTTAGAGGTATGTGCCCTTTAATTATACTACTTTCATTGGCATTGTGTCTTAGTGCTGACTACAAAAATGTATTTTTTTCTTTGGCGCCTTTCGTCTAGAAAATGTTCATTATCTTTATGCAATAAATTTAACCTTTAAAAAATTTCTCCCCCAAAAAATGAATGGAAAAATCAGATACCAGATAGATCCAAGAACACTTATTTAATTTTTTAATAACATTTTTTCTTCTACCAGAACCTTGATTGAAATATAAGCGGTACTTGTACACCCCCTAGCGGGGAATCTGCTTCTCAATACAAATTCTACAGGAGAGAACTTCAGGAGAAGCTTTATCCAGGAACAAATTACACATTTTCAGCTTCCATGGTCCAAACTTAAGTTTGGAAAAAATTTGGAGAAAAATTAAGTTCTTCAACTTAAAGACAGATTAAAAAGCAACACTAACTCATTGATTGAGTCAACACTTACTGAGTAATAGATAACCAGGTATTGTTCTAGGAGTTCCTTTTAAAAGGGGAAAGTTACATGGGGCCTCCCCGGTGGCGCGCAGCAGTTGTGCGCTGGGCTGCGGGGCTGCCTGCAGCCTCTGCAGCTCTGGTTCAATACCCGGCCGCCCCACATTGCAGACCTCTCCTGCCGCCCGCTGCTCCCCTCAGCAGTGTGCTTCGTTACTCTGCCTGTTCTGCTCTCCGCTCTGGCTCTGGTGACTTCTCTCACCCTCCCGTGCCTTTGACTCTACCCAGTGCTTGTATAAATAAATAAATAAATCTTTAAAAAAATAAATAAAAAAGCAGTCACTACTGTTTCTAATCTTCTAAAAAAAAAAAAAAAAGGGACAGGTTACATTTGCAATCCTATTGAATACCCATGTGGAGACATCAGCTGGGCAGATGCAAATTCAGAGGAAGAGCCCTCAAGAGGAATAGTACCTAGAGAAGAGGTCTGAAAAATTAACCGTGGAATGACCCAACATCTTGGGGTGAGAAAGAGGAAGAGAACCAAACTGAAAAACAAAGACAGAGAGGCCAGTGAGTTGGGAGAGTTAAGAGAGATTGGATGCTTCAAGTCAA